ATGATTTCTTTTTGCGGATATGGAGATTTTGCTTTGTGGAATTTGAGTTTGCATGAGTCCTTTTATTTTCATACTGCATTAGCCAAATTCAAATTTCAACAAACAACAATAAGATTCAATAATACATACTATATAACTTGATATAAGTGTTAGAAAGTCAAATAGTTGGCTGTAAAGAAAAAATAGTTATAATAATGTTATTTCAAAGGAGAAAAAGCCACTAGAATTTTTATTGGTTCTAACAAATTGACAAATATGAAAAACTTAACTACACAAACTAAGTTAGTTGTTAATCAAAAAATTGATAATAATTCTAACTAAAATCAATGATCTGAGTCTCATACATCTTTTTATTGTTTTGATATCCTCATCTAACATTATAGAACATTGAATCATTGTTTTGATACAAATTATTCATAACTTACCATTTGATAATGATGGTGAGAGTTTGAGTAGTGCTTGTTAGAGTTTGAAGAGTCATTTTTTTCTTCATTGCCAAAGCAATGAAATATACTACAGAAGGTTTTCTTTTTGCAGCTCTGGAAATTTTGGTTTGGATCCATTCCTTCTTCTATTGGGTTCCTTTGAATTAGATTCTGCATTATCCAAATTTAAATGTTGACAAACAATAATAATATTAAATAAGACAGTATATAACTCAATGTGAATGTTATGAAGTCAAATAATTGGCTGTAAAGAAAAAATAGTTGTAATAATATTATTTCAGAAGAGAAAAATGCCTCTAGAATTGTGTATTGGTTTTAACAAATCTACTAAAATAAAAAATTGAATTAAACCCATTATTTTGATTTATTAATTTAATAATCTTATCTTAATTCTAACCACAATGATTCGAGTATCATACACCACTTCAATAATAAACTACTCTAGCTAATTCCTATATATTGGTACAATTATTTATTACAATAAAAAATAACAAGAGAAAGCAAACGTTTGTTCTCTTAAACATCTCAATAATGCAAGCATGCAAGAAGGGAGACAAAGGTTAAGAACAACCTTGGAAAGTGAAAAGGTATACAAATATTAATATTACCTTAGAAATAAATAGAATGGTTTTCCCTCCTAGCGTTTATTTTTCTAATTCTTTTTGTTTCTGATAGTGTCTTCTTACTACTGTGCTTAGTGCAATTTATAGTAAAACTTAATGGGTTTTCATTGAAGATTTCTTTTCTTAAGATTGTTGAGGAATCGTGATGAATTTTATATCAAGTTACTACATTTAAATGATATATATCTCATGTATTTTTATCCGAAATTATCGTCTTTGATAAGTAACACATTTAAGATTACTTAAATATGATGACAAAATTTATTTGATATATTTTATGTTAAATTACTTTAATTAAAATTATTAAAAAAATTATTTGATTTTTTCTCCTTCTCGCTGATGGAGCATTAATATAAGATAATAATTCATAATCTATAGCTGATATATATTTTTATGTCAAATTGTCACCAATAAAGGTAAAAAATCTGATAAGAAAGTAGTTTATTATACAAACATTTATTTATATTTATTATTTATATAATTTATGTTAAATTTTCATAATTAAACTATAAATCTTTCATTTGTTTCTATCATATCATCATTAAGTCAGCACTGGATTATACGATAATTAATTTATAATTTAAAAACCATATAATTTCATATCAAATTACTATAAATAACATTTATATATGATAGAAAGTAATTAGAATATGAATATGAATATATTTCATATGTTTACACGTCAAGTTTCAAATCTTAATTCTGTCCCATATTATTGCATTAAAATTAAAGTTTTGTTATATGAATTTTATTTAATTGTCTTTTTTACAATATTACCTGATCAAGGATTATCATATAAAAAATTGTCAATTTTTGTAATAATTAAAATATACAATTATATCTACGATATATTTTAATTGGCTAATAATATAAAAATCTTTACGTGGATAGTTCACCAGTTTAAACTTTATATGAAATTAATTTAAATATACTGTGATTTAATCATAAATTGTAATACAGCAAGAATAATTAATTTATGCAATTATTAATATATATTTTTACAAGCACCTCATTATTTTATACGTGTTCAATAAAAAAAAACATTTTCTAACACTTTCTAAAAAAAGGTACCTCATTATTTTATATAAATTTTAAATATTTTGTTAATATTTATTTTATATGTATAAAAATTAAAATTTTTAAATGTATAATTTATTTTTAAGAGTACTATCTTAAAATAAATATTATTCAGTTAAAATGTTCAATAATTACTAATAGTAATACTAAAGTCTATTAAACATCCTTTTAATCAAAATGAATTCATGTAAAGGGAGTTCTTATTTAAAAAATAATAATTTACAAAGTCTCAAAATTTTATAATCTCAAATTTATAATTTTTATTATGCAAAATAAACCTATTTGATTTTTCTTAATTTAAATTTTGCGAATGTAAAAAAATCTTGCTATATAAGTTAGTTCTATTATATAATAGATTTTTCTAATTTAAATAAAATTATTTCTTGTAAATGATACAATTTTGTATGACTAAATTTACACAATGTAATTGTATATTCATTCATGCTAACCTTTTTTTTAAAACTAATTATATATCATTAAGATAGAAATAAGATAGATCATTTAACAGAAGCTTAGGGCCTAATATTTTTAAAGTTTAGCCTGATTTAATCTATTTAATTAATAAAATAGGTTAAACTTGAACTTAAAAAAAGTCTATTTAAAATTTATAATAATATATTAAATAATTTTATATAAAAATTATAATATAATAATATATTAAATCAATTAAATTTTAAAATAATAAAATAAAAATTCTAATACTTTTTGTAATAGTTAAAGAAAGTTTCTACTGCATACTCTTTGATAGTTTATTTAGATATAATTCTTATAAATTTAAAAAAAAAAACATACCTATTTAAATGGTTTAACAACTTATTTATAAAGAAGTTTAATAATTTATTGAATATTTTAATACAAATTTTACTATTAAAGAGACTAATAACACAAATCAAACTTTTAAAAAGGTTAGGTTAGGCTTAATAAAAAGCCTATAACAAATAATAAATTAAATTTTAATTTTAAAATTATTAAATAGATCAAATTTATTTATACAAAATTTAGCCTAATTAATATAACCTATTTTCATCCTTACATATAATTAAGCATTAAGTCGTGTGTATATATGGAAAATCAATGAATGTGACACACGTGTATATAAACTTTAGAAAATGTCAATTTTTCTTTAAATAAAAAAATATTTCCAAATTGTGTTTCTTCTGTTTGCATACGAAGACATTACTAATAGATGTAGTGCGAATTGGCTAACTATGCGGCGCTAATTAGGGTATGTGACACACGTGAGAGATGTTTTAATGCAGCAACATCGAACATGTGTCGTTTGTTCCTTTTGATGATGTCGTGAACCATATATTTTCCGACTTTAAAAAATATTTTTTTATTAATTTTATTTTTATCAAAATAACAATCATTTTATATTGTTAATATAGAATTATTTTTTAAATTTTATTCTTCAAATTATTATTATTTTGATTTTTATCATCAATATTTTAAATAAAATACTCCTTTTTTAAGCATCTCCAATTCCAAGAAAAGAACTGTTCCTAATCTTTACCATACGCATCCCTCTCTAAGATGGTGTCGACCATTCCTACCGAACAAACTTTATATATAAGCTCTTAATATTAAAAATTTATAAATAATTATTTCACTAAATATTTAACAAATTAAATGTATTCTAATCAAGGCAGTCTAAGGCAACTAAACCTTATACTTGAAGTTTTCAATGTTTATAGGTTAAAAATTTCTAAAATAATCTTAATTATTTATAGTTGTTACTTAAAAAATATTATTCAATAACATATAAATAAAATTAAGGTAAATATATTTTATTTTTAAAAAATCAGTTCATCATCTTACTTTGACATATTTTCTTTTTTAATTAGTAACTACTTTATTTATTTTATTATTTAATATTGTAAATATTGAAATAAATTAAATCCATCAGCATATAAATTTTCATGAATGCTAATAACCTATTACGCACATAATACTTATGAAACAATGTAAACAACCCATGATATTTCAAGCATGAATAAATTTTTTAAACTTAAAATTAAAAAAATATTATATAACATAAATAGTGTATTAATAAATATTAAATATATTAAATTTAATATCACTTAAAAGTACCAAATAAATTTGAATATAATAATTTAGTAAGATATTTTGTATCTTAAAATTGTTTAAAAATTAAATTTTAAAAAAAATATATAATTTTAGGATGTTATTTTAATTATTTATAGATAATAATTTGAGTCAATAATTTATTCTTGTAATTTAATGATTGTTAAATTAATTTTTCAATCAAAACAATATTCATTTTACGATATTTTTTAAAAATTGAAGCTTCCTACAATTTGAATTTAGTAAAAATATTCGAATTAATATTATGTAATAATTTTTCATAATTAAAGAAAATCTCTAAAGATGCCTTTCAACCTACTACAAATAGAATAAGCATGTATAAATTGTTCTTTTTACTAATTAATATCACAAAAAGTTATAAAAAGTTTCTAATGGGTAATCTTAACAAAGTATATATATCTACATGCTGCTAGAATATGGTATAAGTTATTTGGAAGGAGCAAATCACAACCTTTTCTATCTAATTTAAAAAATATGTATATAAAATATCGATCTTTTTAATTTTCAAATATGTCATTTTGCTTACTCTTATAAATTAATTTAGTTTCCTTTTATATGTAAAATAGGTGTTAAATAATAATATTGGAGATATCTTTTAAAAATATTATCATGAGGGCATGAAAAAAAAGTCAATATATTGTCAATATACATAATAAATAATTACAAATTTAATTTCAAAGATCATGGTTGAAGAAGAAGTATAACAAATAGTGATATATGTTAGGGATGACAATGGGTAAAGTACCCGATGGGTACCCGTAAAATTTACCCTCAACGGGTAGGGTATTTACCCGCTAAACGGGTACGGGTACAGGTATGGGTATGGAGAAATACTCGCAAATTTCCATGGGGATGGGGGCGGGTATGGGTACCTAAGTACCCACCCGCCCCATACCCACATATATTATTATTATTATTATTATTATTATTATTATTATTATTATTATTATGCTACTTATGTGAGGAAGGCCTTAAGTCAAAAGCCCATAATGAGAGAGAATTAGGGTTAATACTTTATATATTTGGCTAGGTCTCTTTTATAATCATTGACAATTATATAATCATATGAGTTGCTCCACAATTTGCCTATCGAGAGTTGTGTTTTAGGAGTGTGACTTACATAAAGATCTAACCTATCACTTCTCATAGAATTCAGAGATCAAATACAACAAATTTTATACAAATACAAGTCTTCAACAAGTAAGCCTAAAACTCTATTATAATTATTATTGATATTTTTAATTATTTTTATTATTCTAATTTCATATATTCTAGTTTGAATAATTTTTTACTTATAATTGAGGAACTAATAATTTAAAAAAACAAGAATCTAACTTACTTTTATTTGTTAGAAAGTTTTTGTGGATGCTTTTGTAAAATTTTGGTCAAGATAAAAATTTTACTATTTATTTTATGTAATTTCATGTCTTATATTTTTTACTCAGTTTAGACTTCTTTTATAGGTCATTTATTTTATTTTATACTACTATATTTTCAAAAAAAAATTTATGCAAAATAAAAGGTTGAGAAATTTAATATAAATATTTATGTTACTCAAATAAAAGAATGCATATTTAAATATATAAAAATCTATCTAATCGAATTTATTTTATAAGATTAACATAAAAATATATTTATCAATAAAGTAAACCATAAAAATAGTTTTTTTTCATATTTTTAATAGAAAAATTTATTTACTATTTTATATCGTTTAACTAAACTAATATAATTTAATTATTATATAGTTGATATGAGATTAATTTTTTTTTTTGAAAATTATTTATATATGACACATACAAAATGTTTAGAAATTTAGTGATTAAAATTATGTTATATTATATTGACTTGGGTTAAATAAGATTTTTTATTTAAGTTCTTGCTTTTATATAGGTAATAACAAATGGAAAATGTATGTGAAGTAACTCCTTCAAAAGAATCTGAAAGTAGCTCTTCTCCAATTATTTTCATTACTCCCACACAACCTGAAAATGTTCCTAAAAGTATACTTAATGATTTTGGACCGAGTGACAATTCTGATATTAGAGGTCAATCTCAATCACAGTCTGATACACTTCCTATTTCGGTGGATGAAGATGATTGTGATGCAACTTATGATGAAAAAAAAAGAAAGATGTCGATTGTATGGAATCAATTTAAGAAAAAAATTATTAATGGGGAAGAAAAAGTTATATGCAATTATTGTAACAAGCAACTGACAGGTAGAAGATCAGATGGAACAAATTATTTGCATAAACACTTTCAAACTTGTAAGAGGAGGCCATATAAGGATATAAGACAATCAATCTTATTGAGAGAACAAAAGAAAGTAGATGAATCATCCACTTATTTAAGTAATTATCACTTTGATCTAGAACAATCTAGAAGAGATCTTGCTTCTATGATAATAATTCATGAGTATCCGCTTTCTATAGTAGACCATTTGGGGTTTAGAGCATATTCTGAAGGCCTCCAACCTTTATTCAAGGTTCCTAGTCGGAACACAATAAAATGTGACATTATTAAAATATATCAGAATGAAAAGTTGAAGACTATGGGACTCTTAAAGATGATTGGAAGTAGAATTGCTTTAACAACAGACATGTGGACAGCTAGCAATCAAAAGAAAGGGTTTATGGCTATCACAGCTCACTACATTACTGATGATTGGGATATGCAAAGTCGCATATTGAGGTATAATTTTTGTGATCATTATATGATATATTCATTTAGTAATTATTTGCATTATTTCAATATTTTTTTATATATGTATATAATTTATTTTTACATTAATAGGTTTGTATATGTGGAATGTCCACATACAGCAGAAGCTCTGTCTAAAGTGTTAGTTGACTGCATGCTAGATTGGAATATTGATAGAAAGTTATCTACCATCACTTTGGATAATTGTAGTACAAATGATTCTCTTGTTGGTTTGTTACTAAACAAACTTGATTGTTCTTCTCTTATGCTTGATGGTCAATTATTTCATGTGAGGTGTTGTGCACATATTCTCAATTTAATTGCTCAAGATGGTTTAAATATTCTTGGAGATGGCATAGAGAAGGTTAGAAGTAGTGTTGCTTTTTGGACAGCTACACCTAAAAGAGAACAAACCTTTAAGGAAGCAGCACGTCAAATCAAAGTTTCCATTACAAAGAAACTTGTACTTGATTGCAAAACAAGATGGAATTCTACTTATCACATGCTTGTTGTTGCATTGGCTTATAAAGATGTTTTTATTCATTTAAAAACAAGAGAGCATACGTATACATGTATCCCTACAACAAATGATTGGAAAATTGCTAAAGAAATTTGTAGTAGGTTGGAAGTCTTTAATCGTGTGACTGAGATGTTTTCTGGGACACAATATCCTACAACAAATATTTTATTCTCATTGGTTTGTGAAATAAAGTTATCTCTACAACAATGGCAAATTTGTTCAATTGAGGCTATTAGAAATATGGCTACAAAAATGGTAACCAAATTTGAGAAATATTGGTCTGTTATACATGGAATCATGGGAATTGCCATTTTTTTGGATCCAAGATATAAATTAAAGTTGTTAGAGTACTTCTTTCCCAAGCTCTATGGAAGTTCATCTTCTTTTCAAATTAACAATGTGAAAAAATTATGCTACTTGTTGTTTGAAGATTATCAAGCTAAAGCCATGGGAATAGTAGAAAGTTCAGCTGAAAAGTTTAATGAGATGGAGATGAATTTGGATATACTTAATGTTAATAATTTTTTAAGTGATTATGATTCATTTGTTAAAGATACAAATGATATGCAATCAAAGTCTGAGTTGGATATCTACTTGGAAGAGAAGGTATTGCCTAGAAGTGCTAGTTTTGATATCCTTGGGTGGTGGAAATCAAATGGGATCAAATATCCAATATTGCAAAAAATTGCCAAGGATATTTTGGCCATCCCAATTTCAACCGTTGCTTCAGAGTCTGCTTTTAGCACAGGAGGTAAATTGTTGAGTCCTCATCGTTCTCGATTTCATGAGGATACTTTGGAAGCACTCATGTGCGCACAAAGTTGGCTGAAACATGAAAATGAAGGTATTGAATACTCTATTAATATATTTATTTAATTAAATATTTTTGTTAATTTTAATTTGATAGCTTAATTATTGATTTTCTTATTATGTACTTGTATGTTTTAGTTTCTATTGGTATTACTGGACTAAAGCAATATGTAAACTTGAAAGATAAACGTTTACAATCATTTGGAGAGTCTGATTCTGATGAAGAGGTAAAATAGCCTAACTATACCATTTTGACTTTACAATAAATAATTAACTAATGTTATTTTTTTAGGTCTTGCAGAGTGACAATACAGGAATATAAAGTTTAGGAGTTGGTTGTTTTACAAGATCTTATAGATTATGTGTGCAATTTTGTTTTTGATTTTTAAGTACTTTAGTTTAAAAAGTTGATGTATTAAGATACATTTAACACTTATGATCTTTAAATATTTATTTTTTACTTATACTTAAACTTTGTTCGGTAATATTATATAAGTATATTTTTTTTATAACTGCTTTTTTTTTTTTTAGACATGCGCGGGTAATAGGGGTAGATATGGGTATAGGGATGGGTACTATAGTACCCTACTCATACCCTACCCATTGTCATCCCTAATATATGTGTTCAAGATCATAAGATGAAAAAGAATAATTACTATAAATTTTTAATTGTGTAAACACTAAACACTTAATTTTGTGTGATTTAATTTATTTTTAATTAATAAAAAATCAATATTCAAATATATTTTCCTATCTGTAAACACTCAACTCTTTTTTACCTACTTTGGAATGTATACTGTTATAAGCGAAATATATCTAACTCCAATAAAAATATTGTCCTATTTCTAAAATATAATTCATTAAAAACGTCAGTTATTAAAAACCATAAAATCCTGTTTACTAGTTATAACTTACATTAAAATATATCAAATAAACATCTTAAATTTGGAATATGTTGATCTATTGAACATTTGTTAATTTCACAATTTTTTTAAAAGACTTTATTACATTCTGCATTCACATGTTTGTGGTACATCTGTTTAACAAAAGGTCTTAGTTTAAACCTTACCGTGTGTAAAATTTTCGTAAGCCAATGTTATGAACCACCATCAGAAATTACCAATCTTAGAAAAGAAAAGGTATCACCTTTTAAAATTAATTAAAAGCTTAAACTATTTTAATAACTAAATTTGTTTAAAAATTAGAGAAATGATAATTGTATTTTTTTAATAATTTGTACAAAATGAGAAAGAAATAGGAAAAAATTATGATTAAAGGAATTATATGACATGCAAAACAAATTATACTATAAAATTTGTTATAAAAAATTATGTTAACAATATAACTTTGCAAATTACACTGTTACGTAATTATAAAGACACAAAATAGCAAGAAGTGTGTATTGAAAAGAATAATTCTTAATTTTAATTAGAGTTTTGTTAACCTCAATTTTAAGAACCAATAATCAACAGTTAATAATAGTAAAATTTTATTAAAAAAATATTTATTATATTTTTATAACTTCAATACAATAACTGTGTATTTTTTTTTTATATAAAATTTTTTAATTTGTAAATATTTAAACTCAGCCATTTGATTAACAAAACCCTTTTAATTAATATTGTCATATTAGTTTTTTTCCGTTAACTAATATAATTACCGGAAATTAAAGTGAGTAAAAATGCTCGTACATTGCAAGTAATGTGTAAGACAACAGTTATAAAAAATGTTACAGTAAAAAACTAACAAAAGGATTGGTGTACACGTTTAAACAGTAGCATTGATATTAAGTTATTTGCATTCTGTGACAATGAAAGTGCCAAAATCTGAACACAACACGTAATCTGGGTAGAAACAATTAATCCCACTCGGTGCCTAATCTCTTTGAATTATTGATCTTCCCCATCCTTTTCTATCAAGCCCACCTCTCTCTCCTATAAAATGTGGTGTAAGGAAGACAAGTTTGCATGCATTAGCAATTGGGTGAGTTCAATCCAATAACAACAAGCAAAGGGTTGAAAAATATACCCATTTATAAACAATTCAATGTTACCTACTAACTCTAGCAAAAGATATCTGTAGTTTACAAAAAAAAATTACATTGATCAAATATACAATGGAGAAACCTCATGCTGTGTGCATTCCATACCCAGCACAAGGCCACATAAACCCAATGCTCAAACTAGGAAAGCTTCTTCATGTTAGAGGTTTTCACATAACCTTTGTTAACACAGAGTATAACCACAAACGCCTTCTAAAATCGAGAGGTCCTAATTTACTCAATGGGGTCTCATCATTTAGCTTTGTGGCCATCCCTGATGGTCTACCAGAGCCTGATGGGGATGCAACACAGGATATAAGTTCCCTGTGCGAGTCTACGAAAAGGACTTGCTTAACTCCTTTCAGAAACCTCTTTTTCAAACTGAATAATTGCTTAGATGTCCCTCCCGTGACTTGCATAGTTTCTGACGGTGCCATGAGCTTCACTTTGGATGCTGCCAAAGAATTAGGCATTCCTGAGGTACTTTTCTGGACCACAAGCGCGTGTGGCTTCATGTGTTACATGCAATATCGCCGACTCGTTCAATTGGGCTTCACACCCCTCAAAGGTAAATTCATTCTCTTTACAATATATTAACATGGCTCTATTTTCACACCTTGCTACGTGGACCATAAGAAACACAAAAATGAATAATAATAAATTGTGAGCTTGACGTGTAGAATCAAGTTACATGACAAATGGGTATTTGGATACCTCCATCGATTGGGTACCAGGCATCAAAGAAATCCAACTAAAGGACGTGCCTAGCTTCATAAGAACCACAAACCCACAAGAATTCATGATGGATTTCATACAAGGGGAGTGCGAGAGAGCTCAAAAAGCTTCAGCAATTATTGTGAACACGTTCGATGCCTTAGAACACAACGTTTTGGACGCATTTTCATCCATTTTGTTACCACCCATCTACTCCATTGGTCCCTTGAATCTACTCTTAAATAATGCTGTCACTAATGAGGACTTGAAAACAATTGGGTCCAACCTATGGAAAGAAGAGTCACAATGTCTAGAATGGCTTAACTCAAAGGAACCAAATTCGGTGATTTATGTGAACTTTGGGAGTATCACGGTTATGACAAGTGACCAATTGGTTGAGTTAGCTTGGGGACTTGCCAATAGTAACAAGACCTTTTTGTGGGTCATTAGGCCTGATCTTGTTGCAGGGGAAAACTCAATTTTACCCTTGGAGTTTTTGAAAGAGACTAGAAATAGAGGCATGTTGTTAAGTTGGTGTCCCCAAGAAGTTTTGGGTCACCATGCTGTTGGAGGTTTCTTGACACATTGTGGTTGGAATTCAACCTTGGAGAGTGTGTGTGAAGGGGTTCCAATGTTGTGTTGGCCTTTCTTTGCGGAGCAGCAAACCAATTGTAGGTTTTGTTGCAAGGAATGGGGTGTTGGGTTGGAGATAGATGATGTTAAGAGGGAGAAAATTGAAGGACTTGTAAGGGAATTGATGGAGAGGCAAAAGGGTCAAAAGATGAAAGCTAGGGCTTTGGAGTGGAAGAAATTGGCAAAATATGCTGCTTCTAGTCCACACGGATCTTCTTTTGTTAATATGGACAACATGGTTGGCCATGTTCTTAAGGGCAAAATTGCTAAGAACTAGTTTTTAGATTAGCACCTCTCTAACCCTTTCATGGGATGTCTATGTTTTTGAAATGTGGATTCGTCTAAATTAGTAAAGAAACTGCTTTACATTTCAGTAGTTAAGCCGAAATTCAATTATTTAAATTGAAATCTACGTTAAATATGCACTAATTATTAAATAAATTAATGAAACGTATTAATATAATAAACATGTGTTATATTTGACAAGTAAGGAAATTGTATTTATATAATTAAACTGTACTCTTTCTTATCTTAAAAATAAGTAAACAAAACTTAAGGAATCATGATGTAAAATATAAGTAAATTTTAATTAATTTTACACTATTTAATAAAATTATTTTTAAAATAGATTTCATTAATTCAAATTTTATTTTTAATTTTTAAAATTTTAAGATATGACATCAATCATTACATATAACTTTCAAATGAAAAGAGCAAATTTTACTTAAAATAACTTTTTATAATTTAAATATCTTTCTACAAATTATTTTTCACCTTTAACGTTAACATTTAACATAAAAACTTAAACTATCAACTAATATTATATATTGAAAATTAAAAATTTAAATTATCTTTATTTTATTTTATTTTTTTGTAAAATAAATATCATAAAGGATGTATTAGAAAATAAAGTTTACTTTTTAGATAAAATTAAGAATATTAAATAAGATTAACTATATTAGAATGTATATTTTAAAAGGGATTGTTTTAAGTTGGTTGTATAAATTTATTAAATTTTTTAATATATTAATTAAAATCTAAAAGAGTAAATTTTATTTTTTAAATTATTTTAAAAAATATTGATTAAGACTTTTAAAAAATTATTTAAAATTTTATTTTAGTTTCACATGTTTGATTTCTGTCCCTGTATATTCTCAGGTATAATAAAAAAAATTAAAATGATGGAGTTCTAGCTCATGTATTTTGCTTACTTTTTTATTTTTTTTTTAGTTTAGGATTTAGATAATCGATATTTTCTTTTGGCAACCGAACATTGAGACTATAAATTAAGTTGAAATGATTTTTTATTAATAAATTTATTTACTCAATAATTATTTATTATTTTCATTATTGTAAAAAATAAGAGAAATTAAAATTTATAACCTAAAAAAAAAATTAAGATAAAATTTACATGATATTTAAGAGCAATAAAAACAGTTACACATTAAAAATATTAATGTTATTCTAAAAATGTTTGTCATATCAAATGACTAATTCAGTGTTTTGCATGAGAAATAGATTAATACATAGTTAATATAATTTTATACTAAATTGAGAGTATAAAAAAATTAGTAATTAATATATTTATAAATAAGTATTTGTTTTTATGATTAAAAAAATTGACAATTACTGTTTATAAATAGGAATAGAGTAATTAGTGTTAGTAGTAATGAAATTTTTTTGACATATATAGCTTGTATTGTAGGATAGAAGAAACAAATTTATAAGTTTAAAAATAGTTATTTGATATAGAAAAGGACAAATAAATAAAAATACTGCGTTCAATTTTAATATACATTGATGTAACAATTTTAGTTGGATCTTGTGATTTGGAGAAAAGCCAGCAAATATAGAAAAGGACAAAAGGGACAACGAAGCTTCTGAAATAAATACATAAAAATACTCCTTCAATTTTAATATACATTCGTGTAAATTTACTACTTAATCGTCTGCACCATGTTATTTGATTCTCTATTTAAATCATAAATATTCTTCCACTCTGTTCTTTCATAAAAAAACATAAATATCCACCGCATTTAACATTCATTTTCACATAGCTAAAATGAAAACGAATTTGACTGATTTAATTATATTTTTTATTCTTTTATTTTTAATCATTTTAATTATAACAATTAAGCTTTTTAATAAATTTTCTACTTTAAAATTTTATAATGTGTGTGAGAAGGATAGGATCAAATAAAAATAAGTGTCAAATTTAATTAAATAATATCGAATAAATTTTATTTAAAAATATTTTTATGTTAATATAAAAAAGAATATATTTGACTAACTTTTATAATAAAAAGATAAGCAAAATGCACAATAAAATAACCACAATGATAAAGATTCAAAAAATGAAGTCAACTTAATTTGTATTAAGTCACGAGCCCCTATAAAATGAAATCGAAGAAAAATGGAAAAAGGTAAAGAAGAGAAGAAATAATATATAAGGAAGGAGGTAATGGTAGTAATTAATTAAGGGATCTCGTCGCCGTGTTGCCTCCGTCGGAGGAAAACAACAATCTCCGATCTATAAACCATTCTCACTCTCAAATCTCTTTCTCTCTTTCACACGCGCGCGTTCACACATACACGCGAAGCATAGCAAAGGTGCGCTCTCTCTCTCTCTCATGCACCATTTCATCGTCTTCACCATTTGTTTTTTTTTTCATTTAAGTTTTCTGCTACTATTGCCGTAACTTGTTGTTCGAATTTAGCGTTGACGCATTCTTTATTACCTGCATCTCACTCTAATTTGATTCACCATGCACTTTATTATTCTTATTTTTTAAATGAAAAAAAATAATATTTTTTTTTTTGCCCCTACCAGTTTTGGTAATGGGAATTTGCAATGGGAAATGGAGGAAATGGAAATCAAAATATACTTTATGTTTGTTATTTTATGTTTTGATTAAACGTGCCTAAACCTTTGTTGCAGTGTTTCCCAAGTTTTTCGTTCTTACCCTGACGACTGTGTTTTCTTCATTTTCAAGTCCTTTTTAAATGTAGTGCTAAGATTCTGTTCCTAAATTTATGTGTGTGTGTGTGTGTGTTTTTTTTTTTTTTTTTTTTTTTTTTGCTTCACTAATGTGTGTGTTTGTTTCTTTTAAAGGTTTAAAAAAGTTTTTTTTTCCTCTGTATTGGCTGCTAGGGACAGTAGAAATTTTAGAAATTAGAGGTAGGTATTGAAATGTTAGATTAGGATTTATGTTGAAAAATGGTTGATTAGGTGCAATTGCTAACACATAATGTAATTATGTTGCAATTGCCTGTTGGCATAATTCAGTTGATGTGTAGATTTCAAAATCTGAGGTTGAAGAATTATAGTACGATCTGAGAAACTATTATTTTATTTTTCATAAAATTGGAGTGTGATTTGTTCCTTAACTTGTTTTAGTTTGGTTATCGGATGCGCTGAATGAAACTTCTTTAGTTCTTGTGCTTAAGAAGTGAGAAATTTGTATTCTGACTGAGAGCTATTTGTTTATTCAGAGTAGAGTTTGTTCTGTCAAGAATTGAGGAAGGCTCAGGCCCATGATATTTTGAAATCTCTCTGAAATAGGAAGACCATGGGACGAGCTTCACCATTACTTATAATTTTTTTAGTTCTTGGTTCTTCCTTCGCCACTTATAATCTGGTAACAATGATAATCCACTATGGATCTTCAGAAAGTGTGGCTGTTGATGATGGTGCATTATTTTTCGACCCCATTACTGAGATGCCTGCACATGTAAAGAATCGTAAGACATCTAAAGCACCCTTTCATGTTGCCTTAACGGCAACTGATGCTCCATATAACAAATGGCAATGCCGTATCATGTATTACTGGTATAAAAAACAAAGGAGTTTACCTGGGTCAGAGATGGGAGGATTCACTAGGATTCTACATTCTGGAAATCCTGACAACTTGATGGATGAAATTCCTACTGTTGTGGTTGATCCCCTTCCAGCAGGTCTAGACCGGGTGAGCTTACTGTGACTTTACATTATATTTTTCATATGCTATTCACTGTTGCCTTTTTTTATTCGGTGAACTGGCTTAATATCTTTGTTGCTGTTAAAATTGATATAGTGAGATGCCATGACCGCTAAACTGTTATACATTCTTGTATATGCAAATCTGTAAATTTGATAGAAAGGTGGGGGTTTTTTTACTATAGTAATTTGGTGAAAGAAGTGGAATCTTAGAAAATGATTTGGTGTTAAGGAAATAATTCAAGGGATGATATCAAAAGGAGTTTCGGTGATGAATTGTTGATAAAAACTATTATGCAATTTCAGTTAGGAAATAGTTGCATGCCTAAATTTCTGAAGGTAATACCTTCTACTGAAGAAATGTAAAATTTAGGGGCCTTTTTCTTTTTTCTTTTCAACATGAATGTATTAGAAGTTCAGCACTGCAGCATTCATTCTTCAAATGTTTGTTTCTTTGCAGTTCCAACTTTTTGTAAAATATATCAGTTTTAGAATTTAATGCAAATAAATGTCAACTCCTTGACTTGTACTTGGGGTTGTTTTAGCTTCTCTATCCACATTTTGTATTCCTCTACTCTAATTTTTTGCTATTGATGTTTTGAACTATTGATAGATAGTCAACAATTGAATGTTACACTCAGTCAATACAGTTTATATGTTTTCTGACACATCTGTTTGCAGGGATACATTGTTCTGAATAGACCATGGGCCTTTGTTCAGTGGCTGGAAAAGGCTAAAATAGAGGAAGAGTTAAATCTCTTACACTCTGTGAATTGTGATCTATCTTTTATTTCACAATAATAAAATATGACCTTGTTTCTCATCTTTTGATGCAGATATGTGTTAATGGCAGAGCCTGATCACATATTTTTACGTCCTCTGCCCAATCTGGCCTATGGAGGACATCCAGCTGCATTTCCATTTTTTTACATTAGACCTGATCAGAATGAAAAAATTGTAAGGAAGTTTTATCCAGAGGAGTATGGACCAGTTACAAAAGTTGATCCAATTGGCAATTCTCCTGTAATTATCAGAAAGGTAGAATCTTTTCCAAAATCAGCTGCTCAAATCAATTCAATTGGATCCGTAATTGTTCTGGATAGTTGAATAACTTCCCATGTCCCTATCCTTGTCCAGGTTACTGTAACCAATTGTATTGATTACTGGTGCTCTAGGTTGTAGATTTCATAAACATCATGTTGAAAGCTTTTAAGAGCAATCCATTTCATATGGATTTCACTGTTTTTTTTCAGGATTTGATCACAAAAATTGCTCCCACGTGGATGAATATTTCTTTGAAGATGAAAGAAGACCCAGAGACTGATAAATCTTTTGGCTGGGTGCTAGAAATGTATGTCTAACCAAATAACTGATAAATGTTGCAGATATTTTTTTTCTAGGATAGGTGCTGAAACTTATATTTTGATGCTTTATGTTAATGGTTTTTTCTTGTGGAACCAAGGTATGCTTATGCTGTTGCATCTGCCCTGCATGGTGTGAGGCATATTCTGCGGAAAGACTTCATGCTACAGGTTTGGCATAACATCATGTAGCTCATGATGTTGTTTTTAGTTTATGTTATTATGAGATCAAGTGGCTACCAAATATGACAAGCATACCTAACTCAAAATTTACTTTTCTTGTCTGTGACTTTTCAGCCCCCATGGGACCTTGAAACTAACAATAAGTATATACTTCATTATACTTATGGTTGTGACTACAATCTAAAGGTAAAGTATTTCTTTGCCTTGAATTGCATAGCATAGTCTATGAATTTTCCTTATAAATTTGCATTCTTGGTGAACGCATCTCTTAACTCCTGAAACCTGTTTTGTTTTCTTCTTATTATGCCATGGAACTCTGCTTTAGTAGATATATACTTTTTTAAAATACTTTTATTATGCAATGGAACTCTGCTTTAGTAGATATAAAAAGTAATTTTTTTTAGATTTTTAAAAAATTAGAAGTTACTTTTTGTTTAGTTACAATTACTAACAGTACTTTTTATTTTAGTGAGTAGTTATAATTTCAACTTTTTCATTTAAGCTACTAAAAAATAGCTTCTCTGAGAAAGCTAAAATAAAAAATTTTCATCGTGCTTAGGGAGAATTGACTTATGGCAAAATTGGTGAGTGGAGATTTGACAAAAGGTCACATCTAGGAGGACCTCCACCTAAAAACTTGCCCTTGCCCCCACCAGGGGTTCCTGAAAGTGTGGTATGTCTAGAACTTGCCAATTGATTTGAGTATCTTATTTGAATAATATCTAGCAAGAACTGCTTTCTTTGATACATGGAACTTCGCTCAGAACTTAATGTAAGATTCTATAACAAATTCTCTTTGCAATTTCATGCTAATTTTCATTTTTCCTGCATGGAAGGTGAGAAGAAAATGGCTCTTTTTCCCCCTTAGCATAAATATAAATATCTGAATGAGAGTCAGTAACAACAGCATCCATTTCTGGGAAGTTTGAACACTAATCCAATCATTGGACCGTTGTTTTATTTTTCATTCCCTAGACCAAGGGTTAATTCTTTGATTGCATATTTGCAATAGAATTGAGAAGCACCTTATATTGTCTGGTAGGGGTCCATAGGTTGAGGTTGTGCATAAAGATTGATTTGTGGGGAATGATTTGATAAGTGAGGGAACTATTTGCAAATAGTGACTTGATAATTATGAAACTTTGGTAAGTGGTTACATTTATAGGCCACTAGCATTGGTTCTGTCCAATTCTCCATCTTCTAGCACTGTTTGACATCTGGATACAATAATGGTCATTTGTTATCAAATGTATTGGCTTGATAGATATTTTGAAATGATCATTTTTTCACTTGAAGCTAGAACTTTTAAGATGCCAGTGCATTTTCTTGTTTTCCTCATCTACCTTTATACATAATTTTCTGACCTTTTTTTTACATGGATCTTCTTTCCTCTTCACTCACCCTCCCTAGAAGGAAAAGAAAGAACAATTTCTACCTTGGGTATACTTTGCTTTGTAATAATGGAAAGTAGCACCACTAGCTGGGGTGTTATTGCATAAGATGAACATTTATGATTCAATTAAATCTTTGAAAATACTGGTCTTGGGATCAACTTTAGGTTTATCTTAAGTAAAATTAAGCCTGGCATAGTCCATTAGGTAACCATGTCTCTCTTATGTAGAGGGAATCCTTGGTATAAAAGTGCATTCCGTACATGTTAGTGAGCATTGTCGAACAAGATTGTCCCTAAAGGGTATGCCCTGCCTCAGCCTCTCAAAGATATTTTTAGTTCATCTCCTTCAGGGTAGTGTTGCTTTTATGGTCATATTAATAGCAATATTAGATTAAGGATTAACCTTTCAAAAATGCGGTTGGTTCTGGAAACATTGTCTGCTTTTTTTAAGAGTTAGCTAGTTTAACGAGACTTTTGCTTGAAGGATGCTACGCTTTTTTAGAGATGTTTAATGTCTATCCACTGAGTGACTTCTTCCAGCTTTGAGTTGAAACAATGAAAAACCTCATGTATTTGTTCTTGCATTGAAACTTTTGTTGCTTTCTTGGTTGTGGTTATTTACCTTGTTTTATCAAAACTAATCCTCAAATTTATGTGCGGTCTGTCCCTCCTTAGTGTTGCATACTTGCACTGCTTCATCTTTTCTCCTTTCATTTTATTTTTCGTTTCAAAGCTTTATAGCTTATTATAATTCGGGTATTCCAGCACAAAGCAATTGACATCCCAACCTGCAGCATTTTAGTTTAAAATTGTATTTATATCTAATTCAGCTTCGATCATTTACGTGACATGAGCTGTTGATTTAGTTCACTCAGGTTACTCATATATTTTTATGATATCTAGTTGCAAAAGCATGATACAAATTATGATTAATGTGTTGGTTGCTTAAAATAATGTCTGCAGGTGACCCTTGTAAAGATGGTGAACGAGGCTACTGCTAACATCCCCAATTGGGACACGTCGTAAATATTATTTTCGCTTCATCATGATATTCAAAGTGCATGTTTTGAAAGAGAAAAAAAAGAAAGTAGAGACATTGTGACATAATTTTGTCTTGAGTTTAGTCATAGAATCATAGATTAATGTACACTATACATATGCAAGTTAAATGGAGGATAATCCTGAATTTTCCCTTGTTGGTGTCTTGGTGATATTCTTGAATGATATTTGTGCTCGTGCCACAATGTCAGATAATCTGTTCAATAAGTGATGGCTTTGAGATTGCTTACGTATATAATGACATTCCTTGTGTGTCTTGCATAGCCCCAAACATTAAAATTGTTTCCCTTCATTCCTACAGCATATGTGCATTTACTGTTATTTTTTCCTAGAGAACTTTGAATTTTACATAGCTCCGTAGTTTAAGTGAAAATTGAAGCTTAAAAGGCGATTCATGTTTCCTTTAGATTTACGCGTCATCATTCTTAAAGTGAAAAAATAATACATGCAACTCATAAGATACAGGTATGTTATGGATAAAGAAATTTGACTAGTTTTAAAACATTAGAAGGCAAGATATTGTTAAAATACGATATATAAAATTAGCATTAATTAAAATACTAAGTCAAACATGGAATTAATGTTTAAAAAATAAGCATGATTTGATATTACGAAATTTTAATTTAAAATATCAAACAAGGAACAATGGCTCTATAATTCTTCCTCTCAATATACTTCTAAGTTCAGAAATTGAGGCTGATTATTTCAGCGGTTTAGTTCCGGGTAATTTCCGTTTCACAGATCCTGATACTGTTATAAACTCAGTTTGATGGGTGCCATTTCTTTTTTACTTGGCAAAAGTTGAGTTTTGAAATTCCTAACTTGTTTGTAATTTTTGTACTATTAATCTGAACCGTAGATTATGTATGATAAATTCACAATCGAATTCATCGAATTGAGGACTTGCATCCAATTCTCATGTAGCACCTAATGGGATTTAGATACAACTCTTTCAAGATTCATTATTTCAAATCCTTCTTTAATATTTAAGTTTAAATTTGTTGACTTATATATAAGTTTAAATTCAATAACCTATTTAGACGTAAGTTTGTAGTTTATTTTAGTTCGTAGAAATCTGTATTTTTAATTTGATCTTTATATAAAACAATTTATAAAAATATCTTTAAACAAATTTTTTAAGAGTCTCTTATTTTAACTTTTGGTATAGCATTATCTTAGATTTTAATTTTTTTTTTCTATGGTCCTTATATATAACACATTTTTTGTTTTAGTTTTTGTATAAAAGATCTCAAATTATATGAATTAAAATAAAAATGTATTACATATAAAAATAATAAAAAACATATGTTTTGTACAAGTATCAAAATATAAACAAATGTGTTATATATATATATATATATATATATATATATATAGACTAAAATTAAACTCACCATAAAAATAAATTTAAAAAAATTATAATAATTCATAATAGACTAAAAAAGATTATGTAATGACATGGTTATGAGGATTATTATGAAAAGATGATATTTGAATGTTAGGTAAAAAACATTTTGCTTTAATTACTACGAAAAAAAAAAGTAAACTGATTTTTAAGTGTCATTGTTATTTATTTATTTTTACTTAAAAGAGGAGTGAAAGTATCTTTTTTAGTTTTATTCTTTTATTTTATAGAGCAAATTTTATGATTAAACTCTTATTATTTATCAAATTTAAAGAAAGACAGAAAAATGACCCAATTAAAGTCTTATAAAACTTAATCTAGTAAAACTCGTTTTCACCCAATAATTCATAAACGATCTCAATGTCGCATCTAAAAGCACATACCCAAAATGAAACTTGATGACATGTTAACCTCTAGGCCTTTTACCATGCAAAATTATTATTATTATTATTATTATTATTATTCATTTATTTTTATCTTTTTATCTCTATTTTTTTATCATATTATTTATTACACATCTTACTCTCTTTTTTTAATATTTTCTTTATATCGCTCTTATTTGTTCATCCATTTCAATCAATAGTGAATTAGATGAATCCAAATAGCGAATTTAAATTTCAACCACCGTTTTAACAAAAATACTAACTTGAGACAGAAATAAAAATTAAACAACTAAGTTAAGATAAAAATAATAATGAAAAACTTAAATTGAACCAAAAGAAAATTAAAGATTAGCAAAAAAAAAAGGGAAAAATAAAGAATGAATTTAAAATAATTAATTAATTATACTTATTTTTAATTAGAAAAGTGTAAAAATTTATTTAGTTATAAAATATACAAGGCCCGTGGCCAAGTTTTTCAAATATCTGTCTTAATCAGTTAACCAAGTACAACTCTATACCTATTGCCTAGCCATGTCCTTGGGACGTACATAAATTAAATAGATAAAAATAAGGTAATATTTTCTATTTATATATTTATTAATATATCAAAGAACAGCAGAGAAAATTGATTTTTTATTTTTCCTTTTCCCTTCTACCCAGTGAGAGTTGACTCCAATTTTGAACTTATTATGATGGGGAATGAGCCAAAAAAATGGCATTGACATAAAGTGGGTTTTCAACATGACATAATAATAACAAGGATAATATAAGAACAAAAACACCAACATCCAAATAAGCCAATAATTTATAATTAATTTAAAAAAAATGTAAATTTACAATGAAATTTTAATTCAACACAAAACTTATAATTTATTACTTCTTCTCAAGCGTGTGCTTAAAGTCAAATTAATTTAAGTCAAACCGACCATACATATAGATACAACAATCAAAACATTCTCATCTATTCAGTACACTAATCAAGATGTAAATGTGTTTTCAAATAAAGAAAAATACTTAAAACTTACGATAACTTTAATTAATACATTAAGTCTTTCTTTGAAAGCTTTTTTTTAATTAACAACTTCTTTTCATTTTGTCAAATTCATCAAAATAATCTCTAAATCAAATAAAAAATTATTTTAATTCATAACATAAATAATCATTGAATTTTAATTTTGTCACTCATACATTAATTATCATAAATAATTAGTCTCTTTTAGCAACTTGGTCCCTGTTGACTAAACAATTCCGAAAGAATTAGTTATTACATTTAAATAAGTTTTAATTAGTCAATTTAGTCTTCAAAGAATAGCATGCTGTGTTTGAATTATAGATTCTAATAAATAGGGATGAAAATGAGTAAAGTACTATAATACTCATTCTCATACTTGCGTTTAAAAAAAATATTTATTCTTAGTTCTATTTCTGAGTAAATAATAATTTTAATTCCTCTAAGTACTCGCATATCCATACATGTTCTTATTACTTGCACTTGTCTAAAAAAAAAAATACGTATAAAAAAATATACTTATATAATTTTACATAAATAACATAACAATACAAAAGTTTGATATATATCTTTCTAATAAAGTTTAAATATAAATAAAAAATAAATATTTAAAAATCATAGTTGTTAAGTATATTTTAATACATTAACTTTTTAAACTTAAGTACTTAAAAATTATAAATAAAATTTTACATATAATCTTTAAGATGTCTAAAACAATCAACTCATAAATTTGAGAATCATGTACTGTCACTCTTAAAGACCTAAAAAAAAGTAGTTAATTATTTATTGTAAAGTTAAAATAATAGATATAGTTAAGTTATTTTACTTATTTATCAAAATCAGACTCTTCAAATAAACTCTTATTTTTCAAGTTTATATATTACTTTGGTCCAACAATATCAATAGAAGATAAAACATATAACTACGTAATAAGAATTAAATTTTATATCAACTATGTAACAATTAAATTGTATTTACCTAATTATATGATATAAAATAGTAAATAAATTTGTTTATTAAAAATATAAAAAATTATTCTTATAGTTTACTTTATTGGTAAATATATTTTTATGTTAATTTTATAAAACAAATTTAGTTAGATGGATTTTTATATCTTTAAATATGCATTCTTTTATTTGAGTAACATAATTATTTATATTAAATTTTTTAACCTTTTATTTTGCATAGAAAAAATTTTAAAATAGAGAATCATGTATTAAAAGATAATATTACTCAAAAATTTAACATAGAAAATTTGTCTATTAAAAAAATTAAATAATTATGCTTACAAAAAAATTATGAACTGAGTAAAAAATATAAGACATGAAATTATACAAAATAAATAGTAAAATCTTTATCTTGACCAAAATTTTACAAAACAAAAACATCCATAAAAACTTTTTCAAAATTAAAAGTGTGTTAGATTCTTATTTTCTTAAATTCTTAGTTATTTTATTGTAAGTAAAAAATTATTCAAATAAGATTGTATGAAATTAGAATAAAAATAATTACAAATATCAATAATAATTATAATAGAGTTTTAGGCTTATTTATTTCTTTGTAAGTCACATTTATAAGACACAACTCTTGATAGAGTAAGTTACATAATTGTTAATAACTATAGAGAGAACCTAACTAAATATATAAAGTATTAATTATTAATCCTACTTTCCTCTTATTGTGAACTTTTGGAGTTAAGGCCTCTCTCACATAAATAATATATATATATATATATATATATATATATATATATATATATATGTGTGTGTGTGTGGGTGGGGGGTACTTATGTATCTATACCCGCATTCATCCATATTAAAATTTATAAATTTTGCATGTATCTATCAGTTACTTTATCTATTATCATCCTTGTTAATAAATAGTAGTGAAGTTTGGATAGAAAACATAAAACAATGAAGAATGCAACAATATGTGAGGAGGAAAAAATAAAAGTTGATTTTGAATTATAATGACCAAATCATTAGATTAAGGATTTTTTAAGAATTAAATAATTTGATTAAGAATTATATGAAGACCAAAGATTATTTTGACTTATTAGAAACTTTTAGGGAATAATTTTATAGATTTTAAGTTTAGAAAGAAATTATTTGTGACTCTAATTAACAATTTTGAGAAAAATAAACCTTTAACTTTGTTTCTTTGCAAAGTCTCTTATTAAATGTCAAGTGTTACGCTTAATTAATATTTAACATGTTAAGTTCACTTATCAATTACACTGTTATAATGTTTAATGATCAAGATTATATACATTAGAGACTGAAATTATATTTTATTTAATTTAAAGACTATTTTAAAGAATTTTAGTAACATAAGAATAAAAATGATAATTCACTTAAAAGGAAAAAAAATATAGTTTGAAAAATAATGCAACGAAGATTAAACTTTTTCTTTATTTTAATTATAAATCTTATTTAAAATAAGAAAACTAAAAAATTACAAGAAAAAATAAATTAAAAGACATCTAAAAAATTTCAATCACTTTTTTTTTTAATTTTTAGAAACTTAAATAAAATTATTTTTTAAAATATTTTCTTTTCTTCTTTTTTTTCCTTTAATGTAACTTATAAACAAAACAATTTTTTTTTTCAAAATTTAGACACTAGCAATTGTTTTGATTAAAGTACTTTCTTGGGCCAGTGGTATGTTGTTTTTATTAAAGTACGTCTTTAAAGCACTTTAATAACCTTTTTCATCTTTCTTTTTATAAAAAATAATTTAAAGAACTTTGATTCATAAACACTTTAACTAACACATGAGCATTTTAAAAGACTTTCATCTTCTTTACTGTAACATTTCACTTATACAATGCTTTTAAATTCGATGATATAAAATTTTATTTATGACATTAATGTAAACGTAACATGAAACACATTAACCAACAACATAATAATATGCATTCTTGAGTAGCATTATTTTATTAATCATTTCAATATGTATACAAGTTGAAGGATTTAAAGAGCATGCACATGTCATAAATTGAAAAAAATTAAAATACACGATACTTGTAGTTGATATTTATTTATGAATTAGTTTTAATATATATTTTTTAATTGTTATAATTTTTTTATTATATTTTAGTTTATATTATTTTAATTGTATTAATAAAAATTATTGTTCTTTTAATTGTCATTGAATATTTTAGCATTTTTTAAACTATATTATAATGACAAGAAGTGATATGTAATAAAATCCCTGCACAGGAGATAAATTTTATAATATTTTAAGTATTTAAACTAATTTATAAATAAGTGTTATTTATAAAGAATAAGTATATATTTTAACTTGTATAAAAAGAAGCTTATAGCTAATTAAGAGCTACCCAATGTTCATGTAGGCTTAAAAGTGAATTTTAATTTAGGCCTTTTTAGAGGAATTTAAGCATTGAATAAGATTTTACAATTTTATTTAAAATTTATCTTTCAAAATTTCTATGATATAAAATTATTCGTTACAGTAGTGTAATCAATGTTGATTACATTTATTACAAGCACAAATAGAGAAGTGATGCTAAAAAGAGAAGGGAAGAGCTTTAAAAAACTTTTCTTAACAGTAATGTAAGTGAACAATTAAGAAAGATTATTAATATTTTTTAGCAATTTAATTTTGATGATTTTTTAGCTATATTTATACTTCATCGCCAAAATAGTTTAATTTATTTTAACTGGTTTCTATTAATTGCTAAAAAAAATGTATCATAGCAATGCCTTATGCAATCCTATGAAATTGGCACTAAAAGAATGCAAATATTATCGTAATGATTTATATACTAGAAACAAGAATTTCAATGGCCTGTTTGTTTATAGATTATTCAAAATGGAGTTATATTATGCAACGTGCTATTTTGTAGGCACATTTCTTTCTCAGCACTCCTCAAAAGCGTACAATTTTATTGCCATATACGTGTTTTGGTGAATCGAATGTAGAGAAAAAGTGAGAAAAATAATGCTCTGTTCAATAAAATGCATATAAATTCCCCATTATGAATGTCAGATTCGAACCTGAAAATTTAAGATAAAGTCGTGTAAATTCTAGTATTTATTTCTATATAAATTTTGTTATAATAAATTGTACAACGACAAAAGAGATGTATAAAAAAAAGGAGCCCTTTATTTTATTAAGATATTATATTTATTATTTTTAACAAAATAAACTAAATATTTGATTATTCTAATTTTATTACTTGATTTTAGTTAAACTTAGGGTACCATTAGCATAAGCATCATGAAAATATATGCTGCGAAATTATAATAAAAATTTATTTATGAGATAAAGTTATGACGTCACAAATCGTGATCGTACGGTTGTGCGGTGGCGAGCGCGTGCTTTTGCTTGTGACTGTCGGCAAAAGCAATTTTTGACAAGTTCCCCAATGGGTTCCCGTGACGATAAAAATTAAATTATTAATAAAAATAAAATAAAAAATAATTAACGGTGGTGTGGTGGTGAACAAAACTTGCACAAGAAAAGACAGAGAGCGTTAAAAGTGTGTAATTGTGCTGATGACACCACAAAGTGACAAGTGTTCTTTTCTTCCTCCTTCCATTAGTCACGAGCGCTTCTTTTCAGTTAACCATTCCACGTCTATTTTAATTTAGTTATATTTAATATTTTCTCTTTCATTTTATTATTTTGCCCTGATGATTGTGAAGTACTAATTCAAACTTAGTTTCAAAAGTAAAATTCAAAAGGGCTCACATGTTAACTAGTAGAATTAAAAGTGGCTTTTTCTTCAATGATATTGTGATTACTTTTTTGTCAAACCAGAAAGTTAAAGCAGCTATTTTATCCAAAACACTCGAATGTATGTTAAGTAATAAATCGTCAATTTTAGGGCCTTACTCTTGCAATTTGAATTAAATTGACAGTGTGTCGTTTCTGGCTCCTTTATCACTGCAGTGGGATTTTGTGAGTGGAATTAACAAGGATGCACATGGCTATGGCTTTTGCAATTCCCAATCAAAATGGTGAAATCACATGTTGAGTGTTAATATAGATTCCAATACTACTGAAATGATATCCAATGACTAATAAATATAATAGGCCAATGTCCCAACTAGTTGTTCAACTCCTGCAGAGCTGAGCTTGACTGCACAATGGCCTTCATAAAGATGTTCGAATGTGACATTATGAAAATGAACTAGAGGATATTCTTTTCCTGTTTTCTCTATCTTCATTTCCCTTGCTATTCAAATTTAATGTTCAGATCAAGATCTCACTTCTAATATTTAATTAATGTAGCATATGAAACAAACAAAACAAATTAAGAAACACATCACCTAATGTTTCAAGCTTGTTCACTAAGTTGGTGTCTTATGTGGATATATAAGTATGCCCTTAGATCTTTGAATTTATTATACCGTCTTTGTTCAGTTTTGGAACAATTTCGGATCTGGAACGAATGATTAAGTCCCATTTTTTTTGGGTCCTACATTGCAAATAATATTGCTCTTTTGAATCGTGTTACCCCTTTTTAATTAAGAATCTTTAGCAATATCTTAAATCAACCTTCTTGTAAGGCATGATAATTTTGGCACTAGGATTTGAGTTTTGGGTATGTTTACGGTTTACCCTCTTTTATTCTTCTAATCAAGCACTTTGAATATTCCATGGTTTATGGTCTCACCAAGTCCAATATAAAGAATATGTATATCTCACACCTTCCAAAGCATAGGTAGCTCAGGACCATATTTACAGTAAATTAAGCTCAGACAACATATGTATATATATATATCAGAAACTGACTTTGTAAGATTTCACTGGATAACTTGTAGTGATGGATATAGAGGGGTATACTATTTTTATTATTAATTATAAGATATCTGACTCACTATGTTGAATATTATTTATTTGTGTTATGATTTGTAATTATACTAATTAGATTGCTTCGTTATTTGTTTATTACTAACAAACAAATAAAAGCAAACTTGTAAGTATAATGCCTGCAAATCCAATGACTTAAAGAAAAGAAGTAGACACAATAAAATTACAATTCCACCATGAGAAGGTAAATCCAAGAAGAGAATTAAAAAGGCACAGCCACAGGTCAATTCAGCTGAAATCACGGTTTCTGGTTTGCAGCTAAGTTTGAATTGTCTTCTTGCAAGGAATTCACCTGAATCTAACGTGGGATCAATGTATGTCCTTCTATCCCAAAAATCAGATAATCAACGTTAGCAAAGTAAGTTAATTAAGAGATCGGTTACTTTTCTGTTATTTACAACTTACAACCTTAGATGAAACTATTAATGAATTTCTGAAAACGTTTTTAAAAAATACTAACATGCAAATGGTAGTAGTAGAGAAATGATGGTGCATTATGGTACTTCAACAATCCCTCATTGGCGTCATTGTTTGCTAAGCACATCATTATAACCATTCCACGAGGCATGATATCACTTTAACCCATAACATGTCAATTATCAATGTTTCTTTTTTCTATCACTCCTCGAACCTGCAAATTCCCACAATATTATATAGCATTGCTGGGTAGATTACTAGACACAGATACCCAATGTGAGCCCTCAAATGATTCTGCACTACTATTAGAAACCACAATATCATTGAGTTTGAGGCATGTATCCAACTATTCATGCTTTAGCCTTATAGTAGCCCGCGACTTAACTTTTTCTTTTTTACTTTAGTGCAGACTCAGGCAATATATAATCATTTTGGTTTTTTTTTTCCCAAAAATACATGCCTGAAACCATAATATGTAATGGTAGCTTCCAAGTGGAATATTTTGTGACACAAGAATTAGGCTTAGCACCCTACAAGACCAAATGGAGTACAGTCTGTTAGCACCCACCGACTTCTATTTGTCACCCACTACATTAGAACTTCAGTGACCCATGCTCTCATTCCCCTCCAAAACCATATCCCCTAAAAAAATCTCTCAAAGATGAAAATGACTATATGATATTATTAAATTTGATAAAAAATATATATATATTTTTAAAATATTACTTATCATATAAAATATTTTTAAAATTTGTTTAACTTTATTTTATTTCTTTTCATAAAACCAAAAACCATTCTATCTACTTTTCTTATTTACACTTCCAATAATCTCTTTTGTACATATTAAAACTACCTTAATCGATTTTAACATTTTATCTTCAATTAATGTCACATCAAATATTTGTAAGTTAAAAGGATTTCACAATGTTAGTTGTTTTACTATATATATATATATCACTAAGTTCATATTTGAAGGCACCACAATCTCAACCTTAACAGGCATGAAAACCCCACTTTTACTTCTCTTCCTCCTCTTCTCCCTAGCCAAAGGGCTAGACCCAAAATGTGATGGCCAAGACCATGGCTCAACCCTGCAAGTGTTCCATGTGTTCAGCCCATGTTCCCCATTTAGGCCATCAAAGGCAATGTCATGGGAAGAGAGTGTTCTACAGCTACAAGAGAAGGACCAAGCTAGGATGCAATACCTCTCTAACTTGGTTGCTGGGAGATCAATTGTACCAATTGCCTCAGGCAGGCAAATCACACAGAGCCCTACATACATAGTGAAGGCCAAAATTGGTACCCCATCTCAGACCTTTCTCATGGCCATGGACACTAGCAATGATGCTGCCTGGGTCCCTTGCACTGGTTGTGTTGGTTGTTCGACTGCAACACCCTTTGCTCCTGCTAAGTCCAAATCCTTCAGCCAAGTTCGTTGTGCTGCTCCTCAGTGCAAACAGGTGTCATCAACATTCTTCCATTCTTCCAACATTTTCTACTTCCTTCCTACTTCTTTTACCCTTTTTGTCAAATCACATACTCACACCCTCATTTTTGTGGCGCTTGCAATGTTTGGATCTCATCATTTTGACCAAATAATGAATGAGAGTTACAAACTATATTCTAACTGCATATTTATATTTGAGGTTACTAAACAAGTAAATAATGTTACTTCGGAAATTATTGGAAAAAACTCTCATGAACTTGCTTTTTAAAAGTAAAATAACACTTGAATTGTGGGTTTAATTTAAGGTATATCGTAAATTTATTAAAATGTTACTGTAAATTTACCTTTATTTTTATGTTTTATCAGCAAATTCACTTTTAACTAACTTTAGATAAAACAATTAGTTTCTTTCTCTTTCATATACAACAATATATCATGAACATTGAATTTTAAAAAATAAGATGAACGTAGGGAGCTGTGTTGAAGGTACAATAATTAACCTTTACAAAAAGAACTCTGAATAATATTTGACAGAGATTAAAATCAATTTGATAAGAGCATTACTCAAATGTTTGGAATGATCCAAAAGAATATCTTAGGTTTACAGCAACAAAAGGGGTCACGTGTTCTATCTACCTCTTCCCATCACAAAAGGGTCACTATAAACAAAAATTAACACCTGGGACGTTAAAGGTCCCACGCGCCACTTATTGGGCGTAGAATTAACTTATCCATGTACAATCCGAGCAGTCTTTATCCTTGTCGGTGCTCTATTTACGTTAGTAGACAAAAGTTCACGAGACTTGCAAAAGTTGCTTGTTAATTTTCCATTTTTACTGTGATGTTTATCATTTCTCAACGTTACTCTTAAGCTTTTGTGCAAATATTTAGGTTCCCAACCCCACTTGCGGAGGAAGCGCGTGTGCATTCAACTTCACCTATGGCACCTCCTCCGTGGCAGCTGACCTGGTCCAAGACACGCTGACCCTAGCCACTGACCCAATTCCAGCCTACACCTTTGGTTGCATTAAAAAGGCAACAGGGAGCTCAGTACCACCACAAGGATTGTTGGGGCTGGGCCGTGGCCCGTTATCACTTTTGGGCCAAACCCAAACGATATACCAATCTACATTTTCTTACTGTTTGCCCAGCTTCAAAACCCTCAATTTCACTGGGTCACTGAGACTTGGGCCTGTAGCCCAGCCCAAGAGGATCAAGTTTACCCCTCTCCTCAGAAATCCTAGAAGATCTTCACTCTATTATGTTAACTTGGTTGCAATTAGAGTTGGCAGAAGAATTGTGGATATTCCTCCGCCGGCATTGGCGTTCAACCCAACCACCGGCGCAGGCACCATTTTTGATTCTGGTAACGTCTAATCAATACTTTCTTATTATAAAAAATAAGAACAATAAATATAAACTATTACATCTTATTAGAATGGTAAAACGTTAAAAAATGTACATAATATTTTAAGTAATTTAATCATGTATGTATATATTATAATATATTATTGTGGGATGGTGGGGTTCTCATATTCAATCTAAACACTATTCAGTTTTCACTGTTTAGACTAATTATTATGATAGATTGTGTCATGAAATGTATCATATGATTCCGTCTCTTTAGGTTTTTCTACTTTTGGGTATTTTGTTTCTCCCTTTTACGTTCAAAACATAAATGGTGAACACTTGTTCTCTATTCTGTCCCCATTCTCAAGATGAAGCTCAATTATAAGATCCATGATGACAACAATTTGGTCAAGTTTTGAGTCAAAATGCTAGGGTGATTGGGCCATAGAATTGGGTTCATACATGCTCCACATGTCGTTTATGAAAAACACCCCCACTTTTCAACATTTAGATCAAATATATTGTGGATACTCTACACCTTTTTTTTTTTAATCAATAAAACAAAAGGCAGAAAATAAAAAAGATAATAATGATGTATAAAATTAGAAGCTGGCAAAAAAAGTAATAAAAGAGATAATTATAATAATCCTACACAAGAATTAATAATTTCACTAGAGATTATTTGAAATGGGATTTTCTTGTTAAAAATACCTAGGCACGGTGTTCACCCGGCTGGTTGAACCGGCATACACGGCCGTCCGAAACGAGTTCCGGCGACGAGTTGGGGCAAAACTTACGGTGACGAGCCTAGGAGGGTTTGACACATGCTACACAGTTCCAATTGTTGCACCCACGATAACATTCATGTTCTCAGGCATGAATGTGACACTCCCACAGGACAACATCCTCATACACAGCACTGCCGGCAGCGTCACGTGCTTGGCGATGGCGGCGGCGCCGGAGAATGTGAACTCGGTGTTGAACGTGATAGCCAACATGCAACAACAAAACCACCGTGTGCTCTACGACGTGCCCAACTCAAGGCTTGGTGTAGCTCGTCAACTTTGCAGCTAATAAAATGTGGTTCTTTAATTTGTCAAGAATTTTCATGACTTGTTCCTACATTAATAACAATGTCTAATTAGCATTGCAAGTTATCTACATAATTCCTATGGGTTTTTGGTTTTTTCTTTGCCAAAGAGTTTGTTGCTAACTATATAGAACGTAGTGGGCTACCTTGTTTAAGGAATCAATTACTTCTAAGTTTCCAAGTTTGAAGTTATGTTTGTAGCTTTGTAATGGTATGTGTCACGGGTTTATATATCTGTAGCAATCCCCCGTGTCGTTTATTGATGTTTGATTGAATTGATGTAACACTTACCTTATGGTACAAGGTCACGGGTTATACATACCATTGTCGTTTTGGAAATATGACCCCATTCATTTACCATATTATATTTATAGTATTTAATAAATTTAAGGTTAAATTATGAATTTAGTCTTTAAATAAAAAATAATAATTTAGTAGTTTAACGGTTGGAGTGTTTCAAATACAAGAAAAGTCTTGATTAAAGTAGATAGAAAATGTCAATTTTACATTTATATTTTGGATATTAGGTAATGGTCATCCAATAGCACACCAACATAAAAACCATGTGTTATATAGTTGACCAATTATAAAAGGTAAGGTTCCTTGCACGAGTTTACAGCCTCTTGAGCCATAAAATTTCTCAATCCAATACATAATCTTTCATCTTTGGTCACTAATTGATCTTATCTCACCTTAGAAAAGTGGAAATAAATATAATTGACGTTTGTATAGGTTGTTGACATGTCCGTCGAATGGAGTCTACCACCTTGCATTTATATATGTTGACAACTGGGTACAACCAACGATATCTTCCACCTTTATTAAGAAATGCATTTATCCACTTTTATTTTTTTTTATGTTATTTATATATCATTTTGATGTGACAAAAGGTCAACATTCATCCAACAATAATTAATATTGCAAATATATACCCATGTTACTCTCGCTCATCATTTTTTATAATAAATTATTATAAAAAGTAAAATTTATATTAATGAAATATTTGACATTTCATTTGTTTAATACGAATCAAATTAAACTGAGAAATTAGTATTTACTATTAGAACCAAATAAATTTGAAGTCAATGGGTTTTTATTTTATATTTAAAAACTAACAATATATAGTTTTACAACTTACTATTATATACCATAATGAAATACTTCTTAGGGAAACAAAGATTCACTTCTGCGCAATTATATTAATTTTGGACACATCATACTACATCAGCTTTTCTTATCATCTCCCTGTGACTTGTTTTTTTACATGTTTACATTCACTTTAGAGATAATGAGTTCGAACACTTATTATAGTTTATCATAAATGTTGTAATACTAATTTAATCAAAATCAATTTTCATATTATATGTTGCTATAGGTGTGACGTATATGTCATTTAGCCACAAATCAATAATTAAATTCTTAAATTAAAGTCCAAATTATCTGCAATTCTGCATAATGCATATAGAACAAAGGTACTCATCAACCTAAATAGCTCAGAAATAAGAACGCGGTGCTCATCGCCCTTAACAATTTTTATTTTTTTTTTAAGATTAAACTATACAAATTTATCATTCTGTGGTAGTTGAAAATGTCACTTATATGCTTTAACAACTATTTAGTCGTTATCTACTCTGTAATGTGCCAAAATATGTTTGCATTACCGTATAACTTTAAGCTTTATATTTTATTGCCTTAATTATATAGTTTTTATCTTTTTACTTTACGTAGGTATGATTTTAGTTTTTTAAGTTTAATTGCTTCTTTCTAATTTTTTAAACATGTATTTTTAATTTTTCTAGTTTTAATTGTTTATATTTAATTTTTTAAATATATAATTTTAAATTTTTTAATTTTAATTACTCATATTTAGTCTCTTTAATTTTTTATTTATGGAATTTTGATATTTTAATTTTTAATCATTCAAATTTAGTTATTCTTTTAAATGTTTAAATTAAGTTTTTCATTAAAACTTCTATTATATTTTAAATATTATATTTTATTTGAATATTATGTATATTTTCTTACTTGTTTGTATAAATCAATAAAATAGCATACTTTCATTATATTCTTAATTATTGTATAAAATTTTAAGATAAAAGACTTAATATGAATATTTAAAAACTAGAAAGAATAAATGTAAACAATTAAAATTAAGAGAATCAAAATTAAGCATTTAAAAATTAGATAAATTAAATATAAATAATTAAAATTAGAGGAACCACAGCTACATAGGTGTAGTCATTGGAAGAACATATTATGAATAAACTTAATTAAGTCTACAAAACATTTGAGTTAAACAAAGCTTGTTTACTAACTAATTAAGTCAATATTGTTTTAAAATATTTATCGAAATAAAAAGCTATTTAAAATATGTATTAAAATATAATTGAAAATTGGAATGAACAGGGGTTTTGACACAAGTTGATTATAATTTATAATTGATAAAATAAAAAAAGAGTATGAAAGGAATCAAAATGGTAACCTTTAACGCGCACGAAAAAAGCATCTTGTCAACGTCGAAGCTCCAACGAGTCAACGCAGCGCGAAACCGCCACGACTCCATCTTCTGAGGCGTACATGGTGACGCCTCCAACCCCAACCTAACCCCCAAACACCCCTCTCTTATATTTAACCTTTGGAATAGTCGGCGACGCGCTTTTTCGCTTTCCCTTTCGCTTTTCCTTCTCCTTCCAACCAACCACCCCACCCAATAGAAAGCCCCACAATCCAAACACACCTTAACTCTCCCGAACCTCACTCCCGGCCAAAATGGAGTCCAAGCGCCGCAGCGTCCGAAGCCTGGTTTCGAAGCTAAGCTCCGTCTCCGAACCTGCCCGAATCGATGCCCTCTGCCAGCTCCGGCTCATGTCCAAGCAAGACCCGGAAACCCGACCCGTCATTGCGGAATTGGGTGCAATCCCATACCTGGCCGAAACCCTCTATTCCTCTTCCCACCCTTCTCAAGAGAACGCCGCAGCAACACTCCTCAACCTCTCCATCACCGAAAAGGAGCCTCTGATGTCGACACGTGGCGTCCTCGACGCTATCGCGCATGTGATCTCGCACCACAATTCAACCTCCTCCGCCGCCGCCGTTCAATCATCCGCCGCCGTCATCCACAGCATCCTCTCCTCCGTCGACCAGTACCGTCCTGTCGTCGGTGCTAAACGTGAGATCGTTTACGCGCTGATCGATATCTTGCGCTGCCACGCGTCGTCACCTCCGCGCACGATCAAGGACGCGCTCAAGGCTCTGTTCGCCGTCGCGCTTCACCCTCTCAACCGCGGCACCATGGTGCACCTCGGCGTCGTTCCGGCGCTATTTTCGCTGGTGGTGAAGGACGGTAGGATTGGGATCGTGGAGGACGCGACGGCGGTGATCGCGCAGGTCGCCGGCTGCGAGGACAGCGCCGATGCTTTCGTCAAAGTTTCCGGCGTCGGCGTACTCGCAGATTTGCTGGACCTCGCCACCGGCTCCAGCATGCGCACCAAGGAGAACGCCGTGTCGGCGCTGCTCAATTTGGTGCGCTGTGGCGGCGAGAAGGTCGCCGGCGATGTTAGGGACGTGGTGGCGTTCGGCGCGTTGGACGGAATCGCCGACGTTAGAGATGGTGGTAGCGGCAAGGGGAAGAGTAAGGCCACGGAGTTGTTGAAGCTCTTGCTCGGTGATAGCAATGAGAATGGAAATGGCAATGTCAGTTTGGTGTTGAGTAGTGATAACGGTTCATCGTTTGGTTCGTTGCGGAATCATGATTCGGATTGAGTTTGATTCTTATGTAATGAAATTTTATTATTCTTTTTGTTCTTTGCTTGATTTAGGTTTAGGATGGCGAGTTCAGTGTACAAATTAGGGGATGATTTTGTTCTATTTTTGTTGGTGGTGGTGGTGGTGTGATTATATTCTATTGATTATGTTGTGATATGATCAATATCATGATGTATTGTACATTCTAACAAAAAGAAAGGGTTTTTTTTTTACTAGTAACAACTACTTTCAGGTTATTCTTATGCTAATGAGTAGTTTTGTTTTGGATTTGTTTATGTTTTTAGTTAACTAATGTTTGAAACTAATGAAGGTGGCTTATGATATGACACTTGCTTCAAGAGATTAGTTGGTAAATATACTGACTTTACTTTGGTGCTTGCTTTGAAATTTGAGATCAGATTTATCTGCATTCTTTAAGGTGATTTGTTATGCTACTGGGTGGTGATCAATTTGTTGTTGGTCTGTAATTGCAGCACTACTTTTTGTGGTAGTCCTATTCAATGGTTTATCATTGGTCATTTGACTTGACTCATGTCATATGACTGTGTATTTTTTGTACTGGACCCATTTTATGTTCCTCTTGACTAATGACTGGAAGGTTTTTCTAGTTTTGATGTTGTATGTTTCTGTATCAATTGGTTGTTGAATGCCTTTAAATGACAATCTTTGGAATGAAATTGAAATGAGGGGTATCAGTTGTAAGTGCGTGCTTATGGTTATGGAGCTGCAACTGCAGAAGACAGTGGCTGCTACCCTGGTGGAAACAGCTTTCTTCTTTATTAGGATGGGCACAACAAGCGAGAAAGAGTGGGAAGGCTGTTAAGTGCTTTCACTGACTGAGAAAATATGGGAAAAGTGGGGGTTGTCTAAAGAAGAGAAATTATGTGTGTATCTGTGATTGAATGATGCAGAATTTGATTTTAGAAGGTATCCACCAATCCTAATCCTGCAAAAAAGAGAAGTTGTGGGATCAAAACTGTTAAATATGCATCTCCGTTCCTAAAATATCTGGAGTAATTTCTCTGTCTACAAGGACATTTGGAGTCAAGGGGAATTTTATTCTAATTTGCAACATGGTATAAGGACATTGTTTATGTTCTTTTGGCTGACTGACTTTATAAAGAAAAAATTGTTTTGAAACAATGTTGCTGAACCTGAATGACGTTTGTTAAAAATATTTATTGACAAAGAAGGATTGGTCAATATTAAATTAAATATAAAATGATGAGCGTATGATTACTAGGGACTTAAACAGCATGCTAACCTTGATGCTATGATCTACCAAAATTCACAGACATATATGTTTTATGGTTTGGATGCCAAGAGAAAGAGAATTAAACAGATAGCTGCGTGAACTTGGAAGGAGAAATGTCTCAGTTTGGTTGTGTATGATATGTGTAAAGGAAAGATCACAACCTGTAGTCCCACCAGTTCTCAGATTTATCTTTTCTAAACCCAATCAACGTTTTATTTTATATTTTTGGTCTTAAATTTATACGTTTTAAACTTTAGTGTTTCGACCTTTCATCTATTTTTATATTTTCTTTTTCTTTAATGTTGACTTCATTATCTACTATTATAAAGTATTATGTTGATTACCTAACTTATTTGTGATATTATAAGAGATTAATGAATACATAAAATTATAATTATAAAACATTTATAATAATTCAAAACAATATTAATGCGTCTAATGGATTTTATATTTTTTTAAAATTATTGAAGGATAAAAAAATTTTAGTTTACAGAATATTAAACTTAAATGTTCTTACACTAAAAAAATGTGAAATTATTAAAATTTAATAGTTTATTTTTTTAGCCTGAATTGGGTTCGTTTAATTTGGATTAGCTGAAAAAAGAAGAAGAAACTAACCCATTTGATCGGTTTGGATTTTATTTCATCCTAAACCCAAATTAACTAAACCTATGAAGACCTCTGTTTCCATGTAGTGCAAATTTGTACTATATTTTATTTTTAAAAACTAAAAATTGTTTTTAAAGAGGAATTTAAATATACTCTTAATATGTTGCACTCCTTCCCATTATCCTTTTTTCTTTTTCTAAAATAATCAGCGTTATAAATGTATATGAAAAAAATCATCATACAAGAATATATATATATATATATATATATATATATATATATATATATATATAAAAGGTAAAACTTCTTTTACGGGCATTTAAAAGAGGTTACAGGTGAAAAAAAATTGAATTTATAGATAATTTACAAAATTAATTTATAACTTTTATAATTTCTTTAGTTATTTCAATAAATTTATTAGTATAATTTATTAAAATATACTATTTTGAATTTATTTTAATAAATTTATTGTCAAATTAATAAATAAATACTTAATTAAGTTATATAATGAAACATACCTTTAAAGTAACTTTTTTACGATAACTATTTTTAAAATTTTGACATTTTTGTAATTTTTTCATAAATTATGTTATATTTTTATTATGACACATCACCATTTAAATTTTTAATATGGTCGGGATAACAAGACTTTTATTACATTAGTCCAATAGTCATTTTAATTGTGGTTACAGCCCAACCCAATAAAGAAATAGTCATTTAAAATAATAGCTTAGGTTCATCGTAAGAATCCAAGTTAACACAGGAAAAAGACAAAAAGCACATGAATTTTCTTATGAACATGATACACAAATGAGCATAGTGCAAATCTAAGAGATAATACATTTTTTAAAAGGTAAGTTGTCATCCTAACCATCAATTGAAAAATTAATTAAGCACTTGAAATTATTAACTTGACATGAGTGTCCATCTTTCTACAGCAGTTAATTTACTTTTTCCAATGAGATATAATAAAATAGATAGTTTATTAGTAAAGCAACAAGTATCTCCTTATTTCTTCTCTCTACACTTCATAAGACTAAAGAACTTATTTTCCTCTATTAATAGTTTTGATAAAAATAAAATAAAAAAAAACTAGCAACTCCACTAGGAATTAAGAATACTTCTAGATTACTTCATCTGATTAGCTCTCAAACACTAAAAGAAGAATAAGAGATTTTGTTCAACATGTATATTTCACTTGAATTAAAGCAAGAACTCCCTATAATTATTACATAGCCAATAGCCAATCATTACCGTGACTAAGAAAAGCAAAGTATATCTTATGAAGGATCAAAATAAAATAACACTTTTTACGCATAAAAAAAATGGTATTCACATAAAAAGAATGGGTAAAGAAAATATCACAAATTAACAACAAAGGCAAGTATATAGCTTTTAACCTTTTAATTTGGTATTTTATTTATTTTCTTATATATGCCTACCAATAATAAATTTCAATATTATTGATTTCAAATGTATAAGCCCTAAGTGAAACATTCTAAAAACAATGATGATAAACAAGGAAATCCCCCATTTTAAAGAATTATCAAGGAAGTTGTTTTAGAATTAACTTGATGGGATAATGATTGGAAGTGATTTTGAGCTAATGTTTGTGTCTATGATCAATTTCTTAACTAATGCTACTCTTGACTACTGAAATATTATTTTTGAATTCTAAAATTGGATCTTATTAAGTATTAATATCTTTAAGATATTAATTAAGAAAAACTACATTAAAACTCTCAATGAGAATACATTAATAGTATATATTCTTTTACTTAAAAAAATATTTATTAGCATTTGTCTAAACATTTAGCAAAAATGAATGGAAAAATATTATGAAAAAATTGTTTAAGTGAGTTAATGACTCAAGAATAAACAACTAAGAAATATATTAGACTATTAAAAAAAATAAATTATGGGCCAAACTTGTATAAGAAGATAAGTTTAATCATGAGTTAGACCATGAGAAAAATGTAATCTTGAGTTTGACTATTAACAAAAAATTAAAGCAAATACTTAATTCAGAGCACAAGTTACCAATTTCAAACCATTCAAATTTTGTTACAAATTCTAACATTTGACATCAGAATCATTAAACGGTGGAAGAAGAAAGATGAAACAATACATTTTGTTTGTTTGTTTGTTTGTTTTGAGAAGGAATTGGAAACTAGAAAGAATCCATTAGCTCAAGCTTTTGTGCCACATTAACCATGTATGAAGAACACACCTTGTATTCCAACCTATTACTCTTCCTCTAGTAACGGCAATTAATATATGATTATGTGTATTGTGATACTTCATAAAGAAGAAAGGGATGATTCCAGAGCATTGTGTCAGAATAACTATAAATGATGGAACAATGACAACTGAACATGGTCGTGATTAATGCTTCTTTAGTCAATTGATCACGAACCATGTTGTAGCCTTGTAGGGACCGTTCATACGCATCAGTATACACATTCATGAAAGTTTGGGAAACCATTTACAAAGGGAAGAGGAATTAATGGCTTGACAGGTGATTGATTCTTATATATCATCATCACATCACATCACATCTATATTTATAAAATTAATATGTATTTATGTCTCTTATCAATTAGTATATAAACAACATATTTTTATTAAATGCGGATATTTCTACAACTAGTTTTTTTATTAAACCATATACATAATACATTAATTAATTAGCCTATACGATCTTATTAATATAAATAAGATTATGTGTTTTTCAAAAAATTAATTAGCTTTTTATATTATAATTTAATAGTAGTAAAAAGTTATGTCTATAATTTATTACTAAAGATAATTATTACCTATAGCACAAAGTGGAGTTTTTAATTAACAAAAAAAGTATGTAAGAAAAATTAATGGAGAGCAAATTAAATAATTGAAACAAAATATTGTGATTGATGAAAATAAGACTATTTTAAAATATTACTTGATTTTATCATTCTACTATAATTGAAAATAATATTATATGATAGTTACAGCCACAGTACATTTTAGGCTTATATATTGCTATAACAAAAAATAAACCTAATATATTTATAAGTATAAACTAAAGTTAAACTAATATTTTTAACATAGAGAAAAAAATATAATTAATAAATTGATATTTAATTTTTTATTTTATGTCATTTTAATTTGTAATATTTTTTATTTTAATCCTTTGACGTAAAAAGTATTTATAAATTGTAAAATTTCTTTGGAATCTTCTTACAGTATCATCACCGCTAAGGTTTTACGCTACGATATCGTCGCAGCATGACGTACTTGTCGTCTTATAAAATCAACAAAAATAGTTTTTAATTGATATACAAAATTTTAAAATTAATCTTTATCACTACTCAAAGTAAGTTAATCATTTATTTAACTAATATAAATTCGTATCATTATATTTAGAAAGAAAAACGGTATGTTTAGGAATAATAGTTCTCCTATTTTCAATGGTAAAGGAAAGGTTACTCAATCTGGATCTTGTTTTGATGTGCTAGGTGATAATGAAACTCAAGACATGCATGGAAAAGTGGTTGAGTATGAAGTTTTTGTTAGATTTTTTAACATTAATATTAATATTTATATTAATTTGTGGATTAACATTATTAAATTATTATGGTTATATTGTTATTAATTATGACGTAAAATAAATGTATATAATAATAATAATAATAATTATATAGATTTTGTAATTGGGCTCTTAGTGTGAATAGTACGTTATGGGTTAGACTATTCTCTGTGCCCAGTGAGAGGTTCCTACTCTCATCTGATTAAGCTTATATAACTGTTGCCCCATTAGACAGTTACCAGTGTGGGATAATAGCAATAAGATAAGAGAGTAGTACACGCTCACTCAAAACATGGATTGCTTATGACTCATAATTCTCATCGGGATTGCTTATGACTCGTGGGTTCTCATCAGGTACGCGTTTAACACAATTATTCAATTATATATAGTTGGAATTGTATAGAGTTGTTATGATGTGTATTATATATAATTGTGTTATCTTTAATAATTATATTTAAAATTCCTACAATTTTCACTCGAGACCAAAATTTGGATAGTAAAAATGATTTGATTATTAAGGGTAATCCTAATAGGTCAAAACTTATATAGGTAGAGGTGGTTCTAAGCCTTTTATTCATAATATTTCAAAGAAATTAGTCTATTCTAACTAGAATTCTAGGCTAACTAAAGTTATAGAGGAACTTAGGAAAGATCATCTTCCAATAACTCAGAACCCAGTAACCTGTTCTGATTTAGTTAAAGAAAGGGATAGGGATATTCTCTTTCTAATGAAGAATATGCAACAAGCTATTCACCAAAACTCTTCTGGGAAAGATTCAATTCAGGATCTTTTAGAGGTTAGCTTAAGAAATTCTTAGAATTCTTATCACTCCCCTAATAAGGGGACAAAGAGTAAACCCTCTGAACCTTCACCAAATATGGATATAGGAATAACTAGGGATAATTATGTTAGTAAACCTGAGTGTTTTGCCAACAGTATAGAGCTGGAATTAGGGATGGAAACAGGCTACGCCAGGCCAGGCTTTACTCTAAACAGGCCTGGCTTGTAACATAATTATTAGACCTCAGCCTGACCTGTTACCTGTTAAAGGCTTTATTTTAGGCCTGGCCTGCCCTGTTTAAGTGACCTGACATGAAGCATGTTAACAAAGCTTGTTAAAAAAAATTAATATTAATAAAACTATAAATATTTTATTATTAAATTAGTTTATACATTTTTCTAATTTCTATCTATGTTCTTAATAATTATTAAATAATCATAATAATATTTATATAATTTTATAAATAATTTTTAAAATATTATTTAAGTATTAATTATAAATATTTTATATTAATAAAATTTATATTTATATTTTTTTATTTATTTTTTAAAATTATATAAATAATAAATATTTTAGTTTTATTTTAGAAACATATTTTGTTTATTTAAAGACATCTTATATTCAACAAATAAAGTTATAGTAAATACATAAAATTGATAAAAAAAAATAACATTCACACAGTTTGTTGAATCAATTAAAAGAAAATTATATGTTTTAAAAAAAATAAATTTAAACTTACTGCAATATATATATAATGACAATAATAATAACTATTAAATTAAAAAAATAATTACAAAAAATAACACTTATAAAATTTATTGAATCAGCTAAAAAAATTATTATATTTTAAAAAGTAAATAAATATCGTCATTATAAAAATTATAGATGATAAATACTTATATTATAAAATTCATAGATGTAGAAAAATAACATATGAGCATAGGAAGAATTATTAAAATTTATATTTAAATTAAAATAACTTATATTTCTAAATTTTTATCTTAATTAAAAAATATGTGATAAAATTTAATATAAAAATTTAAATTTAATGTACTATATATATATAAAATGAAAACAATAATAACTATTAAATTAAAAAATAAATACAAAATATTTAATTTTATTTATCTCATTAATTTGTTATTTTAAATTAACAAATAAATGTAAAATTAACTACACTATAATAATAATGTAATATAGAAAATATTAATGATACAATAAATTAAAACACATACTTATAAATTACATATAAATTGATAAATTGACTAATAATTTAATTAAAA